ATAATAATAATAATAATAATAATAATAATACTTATTATTATTATTAATAATAATATTATTATTATAGTAGTAGTAATAACAATAATAGTAATAATAATAATAATAATAATACTTATCGTAATAATATAAATAAAAATATTAATAATAATAATTACAATAATAATAATAACAACAACAACAACAATAATGATAATGATAATAACAGTAGTAGTAGTAGTTATAGTAATAGTAGTCATAATAATAATAATAATAATAATAATAATAAAAACAGTAGTACTAGTAGTAATAGTAATAGTAATAGTTATAATAATATTAATAATAATAATAATAATAATAATAATAACAGTAGTAGTAGTAGTAATAGTAGTAGTTATAATAATAATAATAATAATAATAATAATAATAATAATAATAATAATAATAATAATAATAATAATAAACAACAAAAAACACAATGATGTGAACGTATTCACTGAAGGTGATTCTCAGTTCCTGCATGAGACTGTGTCATTCAGTGGTTGTTATCTGGGAATAACAGACCTTGGGAAGTCATGACTGACCAACCAGAATCCAGTATTACAGACAGCCGTGTGATATAATAAAATCCAATCTGTTGTTGTGTCCTGCAGCTGACTCTGATGCCCGAGCAGACTGTTCTTCCTCTGGTGGACCGTTCTGGACATCAGGAGACCACAGCAGGCATCACTTTCCAGCATCCAGACATCATCGCCACCGCAGACGTGGTCCAGCAGCAGCTGAGTGAGCCGTACTACTGGAGACTGCCCAAACAGTTCAAGCGCTCCATGGTCAGTCAGCTATAGTCAAATTATTATTTTTGTTTTTATTTATTTTTTGCTTTTTTTTATTTTTCCCAATTTTTTATCATTTTTTTAGTCTTCAGTGTCACATAATCCTTCATAGATCATGCTAATATGCATATCCGTCTTAAAAACCTGTTTTATGTAACCCCTTAGATAACGGCCTATGGTGGTAAGCTAAGGTACGCCATATATTACGAGGCCCGTGAGGAGACAGGACGCACCTCATATGAGCCTCAGGTCATCATTAAGGGTGGCCCGAATAAAGACAAGATCATGGTGCGGCACATGCCTGCGCTTCAGATTGGCCAGCTGACCCGCCATGAAATCGACATTACAGAGGTGAGCCAATCAGCACAGAGAGCCAGAGCTGAAACCTATGGGGTTATACTTTAGAATTGTGTCGCAAATACAACCCCATAGAAGCCCCGCCCACACTGTGCTTCACTCATATGAGCATTTGATTGACATGACCTCCCACAACACAGTAAACAGTGTGAATGATGTTTCGCAGCACGAGTGGAAACACAAGGACGACAGGCCCATGTCTCGAGAGGACTTCATGGACGTTCTGTTTCATGTGGAATATATACTAATAAAGGCTTCGCACGGCAACGTCATGAGGCACAGCAGGTAAACCATCTCTGAAACACACGTAAACATCCAGTTCAGACAGCAGTCAAATCAACAGCGGAAACTCAGGCCTGTTGCACAAAGCCAGCTGTGGGATACACATACATATTTCTGATGCAATAAATGTGCATGTTCAGGCTATGTTCTGGTTATGTTCAGAAAGGTTCTGTTTTGGTAATTTTCAAGTCATGTTCAGGTTATGTTCTAGATATATTCAAATTATATTAAGGCTATGATCTAGTTATGTTCGAGTTATATTTAGGCTATGTTCTGGTTATGTTCAGGAAAGGTTCTGTTTTGGTTATTTTCAAGTCATGTTCAGGTTATGTTCTAGATATGTTCAAATTATATTAAGGCTATGATCTAGTTATGTTCGAGTTATATTTAGGCTATGTTCTGGTTATGTTCAGGAAAGGTTCTGTTTTGGTTATTTTCAAGTCATGTTCAGGTTATGTTCTAGATATATTCAAATTATATTAAGGCTATGATCTAGTTATGTTCGAGTTATATTTAGGCTATGTTCTGGTTATGTTCAGGGAAGGTTCTGTTTTGGTTATTTTCAAGTCATGTTCAGGTTATGTTCTAGATATATTCAAATTATATTAAGGCTATGATCTAGTTATGTTCAAGTTATATTTAGGCTATGTTCTGGTTATGTTCAGGAAAGGTTCTGTTTCGGTTATTTTCAAGTCATGTTCAGGTTATGTTCTAGATATATTCAAATTATATTACGGCTATGATCTAGTTATGTTCGAGTTATATTTAGGCTATGTTCAGGTTATGCTCTGTTTATGGTCAAGTTATAGTAAGGCTGTGTTCTTGTAATGTTTGTTTTTTTTTAAGTTATATTCAAGTTGTGTTCAGGTTTTTTTCTGGATATATTCAAGTTATATTCAGGCTATGTTCTGGTTATGCTCAAGTAATATTTAGGCGATGTTGTGGTTATGTTCAAGTTATAGTAAGGTTATAATCTGGTTATGTTCAAGTCATATTTAGGCTATGTTCGGGTTTTGTTCTGGCTATGTTAAATGTATTTTGAGGCTATGATCTGGTTATGTTCATGGTATGTTTGGGTTATGTTCTGGTTATGTTGAAGTTATTTTGAGACTATGATCTTGTTATTTTTGTTTTATATTAAGGCTATGTTCTGGTCATGTTCAAGATATATTCAAGTTGTGTTCTTGTAATGTTCAGGTTATGTTTAGGTTATCTTCTGGTTATGTTCAAGTTATATTATGACTATGTTCTTGTTATGTTCTGATTTTGTTCAGGTTATGTTCTTGTTATATTAAAGTTATATTTAGGCTATGTTCTGGTTATGTTCTGGTTATGTTCAAGTTATATTAAGACTATAATTTGGTCATGTACAAGATATATTCAAGTTGTGTTCAGGTTATGTTCAGGCCACATTCTGGTTATGTGTAAGTTATATTCAGGACATGTTCAGGTTATATTCAAGTTATATTAAGACTATGTTCTGGCTATGTTCAGGTTATGTTTGGGTTATGTTCTGGTTATGTTCAAGTTATATTAAGACTATAATCTGGTCATGTACAAGATATATTCAAGTTGTGTTCGGGTTATGTTCTGGATATATATTTAAGTTATATTAAGGCTATGTTCTAATTATGTTCACGTAATATTTAGGCTTTGTTCAGGTTACGTTCAAGTTATATTGAGACTATGATTTGATTATGTTTATTTTATAATAAGGCTATGGTCTGGTCCTGTTCAAGATGCATTCACGTTGTGTTCTGGTTATGTTCAGGCCATATTCTAGTTATGTGGAAGTTATAGTTAGGTTATGTTCTGGTTATTTTCAAATTATATTAAAACTATGTTCTGGTTATATTCAAGATATGTTTAGTTTATTTTCAGGTCATATTCTGGCTATGTTTTAGTTATATATTTAGGTTATGTTCTGGTTATGTTCAAGTTATATTAAGGCTATGTTCTTGTTATTGTCACATTATAAATCAAGGCAATATCCTGGTTATGTTCAAATATTATAAATATTCAAGCTGTGTTGTGGTTATATTCAAGTTATGTTTATGCTATGTTCTGGATTAGATCCACCAGTCAACAGTGAGTAAAGTGACACATCTATGGCATAATAAAGACCATGTGTTAGTTTCTTGTGCTACAAATTAAATGTCATTATATAGCAAAAAAAAAAATTGAAAGATAAAATTAGCTGTTTTTATTCTAATTATTCTACATGATTAATATGTAATCCCTTACACATAAGAAACTTTAACTCAATGACAAATTTAGTAATTTACTTATATATAAATTGACAGTTGTGTGTGCCCGTGTGTGTGTTGTGCAGGATTTCTGAGATCACTCTGGAGGTGGCGGAGGTGGGCAGAGCATCCCAGGACAGTGAAATCGCCCATCAGATTGAGAAATGTGTGTGCCCTCAGGGATACGCCGGTCTCTCCTGTGAGGTAATAATGTATTTTGTACACAGTGTTCAACATGTAGCAGCTGTTATCACTGCAGGAACTGACCAGGGCTCCAGCCAAAAATGCTATTAAATTGCCCCAAAAATTCAAGGTCAGGGAGCTAAAGTAAACGTCCCTCAGCAATTAAACTAAATTTATAGCAGCTGTCACCAGTGAAAACCACTAAAGTGTTGATTACGCTATTACATTTAGATTTGTGCTCAATTTTATTATTATTTTTTTGAAGACATCTGCATCACCATACAGGACGTGTTTGGATATAAAATATCGCTCATTTATTCATTTGCTGGAAATTAGAACTGAATTTAGAAATACTTTTGAAGCAAGTCTTCGTGCTTAACAAACGAAATTAAATATGTCAGCTAATGGATGTGTTCAGTGAAGTGAGTTTCCACCGTTTCCTCACTCCACCAAAGTAAAAGAGTAAAGAGTAAAAGTAAAGTAAAGAGAAAGTAAAGAGGCTGAATGGAGGAGGCTTGTTCTTTATCCTCCCGCTGCAGATGCTCTGTTTAGCTCTGTTTTCTCGCTAGTGAATTGTTCTGTTTTTACACTTACAAAGTCGCCATGTAAATAGCGAATACTCCATCGTGTGATGAAACTGACTTTTAAAGGGAATGTGAGATGAGACTCTGATTGGTTTATGGGAATTATGCTCAAAACACACCCATAACTCATTAAGAGAATAAGCACAACCCTGTTAGACCATGTGGCGGGGCACAAACTGTATTTTTCCATCGTTAAAATAGCAAAAGTGGATTTAGACTTATCATTTTATTTTTTATTTTATTTTATTTTATTTCAATTATTTATTTTATTTGTTTATTTATTTTAATTTTATATTTTAACTTATTATTATTATGGTTTATTTCTTTATTTTTGATTTTCTTTATTTTCTTTATTTATTTTTATTTGAATTATTTTATTTCATTTTAAAAATTTTATTTGTTTATTTTATTTCATTTATTTAGCTTTATTTCTTTATTTCTTTATTTTATTTATTTTATTTTATTTATTATTTTATTTATTTTGTTTTAATTATATTATTTAATTGTTTATTTATTTTATTTATTTATTTATTTTACTTAATTTTTTATTTTATCTATTTTTTTTTTTTTATTAAATGTTTTTTTATTATTATTCTATGGTCTATAAGTGTAGAACAAAACATCCAGCATTTAATAAATAATAATAAATTGCATCTCAATTTAACAATGTTTATTTATTATAATATATTTTTTACTGCTCATGCTGAGTGTAATTGATCGACATAATAATTTAAATAACAAAGAGAAGAAAAAAAGTGTGAAAAGTCCAAGTAAAGCGATTCCCACAGAGATGTAAGATGACGTTCTTGTCACAATAGTGTCGCTGCTTCTGAAAGGTGTGAATGTGAACCTTCATCACAGCGTCAGGAGAACAGCATCTGTGTGGAGATCATCATTACAGCTCACTCGCTAACTCTCTCTTGCTAAAATTAAAAGGAGAATAGATCTGGTCAGGAAGGTGTGTGTTTGTTCAAAGCTTATGTGAAGAATTATGTCTAGAATTGTACAAAATAATTAAAAATGATAATCTTTTCAGCTTAGTCCCTATATTAAAAAGGGGTCACCACAGCGGAATGAACCGCCAACTTATCCAGCATATGTTTTATGCAGCGGATGCCCTTCCTGCTGCAACCCATCACTGGAAAACACCCATATATATATATATATAGATTATTAATTACAATAAGTTACAGTTTATAACATTTATAACACATTTATAACATAATTATCTCTCATACACACACTCTCTCTCTCTCTGATACACCCTCTCTCTCTTTCTCCTCTCTCTCTCTTTAACGAGCTGCAGTGTGTGATTACAGATCAGCGAGTGTCAGTTGTTGTTCAGACTCAGGCTGGACGGCTCTGCATGCAGACAGATGGCCGTAACTCTCAAACGCTCCACACTCCGCTTTAATAAAGTATTTTTAAACAGGCGTTTAGCAGGTTCACCCTCAACAGATGGTGCACTAAATTGACGCCATTCATTTCCAAGAGCGAGGGCGAGATGAGTGTTGCCATGGTTACACCGTAACTGTTTCCACGGCGCAGATTTACAGCGTCGTCCAGATTCAAGCACCGTGATCATGAGCCTCGGTAACCTCCTGCGTATTGACACATCCATTCTAATAGTCACAGCCTTCCCAGCATGCACTGCAGGGGGGAATAAATTACACAGGTGGCTTTTTACTACTGCCTCTAAAGTTCATGTAGTGAGTTCATGTAGTGTAGTCTCTGCTCTGTCAGGTTTGAATAAGGTTGCATTAGTTAATGTTAATGTATTTACTAACATCAACAAACAAAGAACAATATGTTTATTCCTGGATAGTTCTTGTGAACAGTGTATTAACTAAGGTCTGCTCAGGCATTAGAGTCAGCTGCAGGACACAACATAATAGATTAGATTTTGTTATTTCACACGACTGTCTGGAATGCTGGATTCTGATTGGTCTGTCGTGATAATCCCAGATAACAACCGCTGAATAACACAGACTCATCCGGGAGCTGAGAATCATTATCAGTGAATACTTTCACATCCATATTCATATATTTGTCTGTCACGTGACTGTTTATGACTTGTTGGTGCCACCATGTGTCTAATTAATACATAGGTTAGTGTATACTCCATTCAGCTGATTACATTTCTGTCAGCTTTGTGCTTTGCATCGGGCTGCTTATGTCTCAGTAAGGGATAAAGCACATTCAGGAGGTTGTTCTCTCAGAATAAAGTCGACAGGTTTATCAGTAGACCGATGTAAAGCGCAGCGCTATTGTATCAAGGGTTTGTTCTACAAAAATTGGGACATAAGGTAGCCCCAAACAGTCAAAAACACTAAGCTGACTGAAACTAAAACAGCTGATGGAGTATACACTAACCAGAGCATTATTCAGATACTAGATGGAGACAAACAGTCAAAAACACAACAGAAACTAAAACAGCTGATGGAGTATACACTAACCCGTGTATTATTCAGACACTAGATGGAGACAAACAGTCAAAAACACAACAGAAACTAAAACAACTGATGGAGTAAACACTAACCTGCACATTATTCAGACACTAGATGGAGACAAACAGTCAAAAACACAACAGAAACTAAAACAGCTGATGGAGTATACACTAACCTGCACATTATTCAGACACTAGATGGAGACAAACAGACAAAAACACAACAGAAACTAAAACAGCTGATGGAGTATACACTAACCAGAGCATTATTCAGACACTAGATGGAGACAAACAGTCAAAAACACAACAGAAACTAAAACAGCTGATGGAGTATACACTAACCTGCACATTATTCAGACACAAGATGGAGACAAACAGTCAAAAACACAACAGAAACTAAAACAGCTGATGGAGTATACACTAACCTGCGCATTATTCAGACACTAGATGGAGACAAACAGTCAAAAACACAACAGAAACTAAAACAGCTGATGGAGTGTACACTAACCTGCACATTATTCAGACACTAGATGGCGCCAAACAGTCAAAAACACAACAGAAACTAAAACAGCTGATGGAGTATACACTAACCTGCGTATTATTCAGACACTAGATGGAGACAAACAGTCAAAAACACAACAGAAACTAAAACAGCTGATGGAGTGTACACTAACCTGCACATTATTCAGACACTAGATGGCGCCAAACAGTCAAAAACACAACAGAAACTAAAACAGCTGATGGAGTATACACTAACCTGCGTATTATTCAGACACAAGATGGCGCCAAACAGTTAACATTCAGTGTCTGAGTAATGTGCAGGTTAGTGTATACTCCATCAGCTGAATAATGCGCAGGTTAGTCCATAGAGGTGTGAACCTATACTGGTCTCACGGTTCAGTTATGATTATCATGCCTTCGATTCAGTTCAATTCGATATCTCGGTGCATCACGGTGCATTGACGATGCTTTCCATATACAGTGTTATATTTTAGGGGGGAGGCTATAACAAGCTGTCTGTATAAACACACAGACACACAGCACCACACTGTCTCTCATTCAAACACATACACAAACATAGACAGCACCAAACAAACAAACACACACACACACACACTTAAGCCCTCGCAACAGGGAGAGCTCGCGCTGAGCTGAGCAGATAAACGGAAAAAAAACTAAAAAAAGAAGCACTTTTCCGACGGTCCCTTACTGAGAGCTCCTCTCAGCGCGAGCTCTCCCGGCTAAACACATATTGCGAGGGCTTAAACGGAGCAGTGCTCGTAATGTCGAGCGAAAAAAAGAGAAAGACAGCTGTGAAACATAACCAGCTTTGTCTTTTTGTAGGAAACACACTTTAGATCTTTTTAGGGTAAGAGGTTTTTGAGTTATTGCCGTCTAAAACTGAATGTGTGTCAGGAATATAGAAAACAAAACCAACTGAACCGCGCTCATTTCTGGCGCCCCCCTGGATATAGAGCGCCCTTAGTATTTGCCTATGGTGCCGATGCCACGGGCCGGCCCTGAGTTGGCTGAGTGTTGTAAATACTCGCGCTTACCTCCCTCGCGACAGAGCGCATAGGAGATAAATGACGTCAGTACATAATAACCGGTTATGATTATTACTGAACTGACACCAAATTGTCTGCATCTGCATCGCGGTGCACCGAAAAAACAATTAATTTTGACACCCCTAATACTCCATCAGCTGTTTTACTTTCTGTTGTTTTTGACTGTTTATCTCCATCTTGTGTCTGAATAATGTGCAGGTTAGTGTATACTCCATCAGCTGTATTCAGCTTTAAGACTTAATGAACTATTACGGCTCAGAACAATGTTTTGTGTTGTTTTGTGGTAAGTAGCCATGTAATTAGCAGGGTAAAGTACATTCTGGATGGTTGTTTTCAGACATTAAACCCTTCGTTTTTAAACAGCAGTGCTGCTGATAAACCTGTCAGGCTTTATTCTGAGATAACAACCTCCTGGATGTACTTTATCAGTTACTCAACAAATGAAATCTTATTGTGAAGCGTGCCCAATACATTATATATAGTGTGGGAATCTGCTGTTGTATTTGCAGTGGTGTTCTACAGTGTTGACTGGCTGTGTTATTGTGTGTTTTGCAGGAGTGTGCGGCCGGGTTCTACAGACTCTCGGTTCTGGCTGGTGGATCTGCATCGCGGGCCGGTTTTGGCAGCTGCGTTCGCTGCCAGTGCAATGGGCACAGCGACTCCTGTGACCCCGAAACCTCCATCTGCCAGGTACTGCATTGACGACAGCATGCACCCCCCTGTAATTTCTTGTTCAAATATTTCCCAAATGAGGTTTAATTGAGCAAGACATTTTTTACAGTATTTCCTACAATATTTTTTCTTCTGGAGAAAGTTGTATTTGGTTTATTTCTGCTAGTATAAAAGCAGTTGTTTTTTATTACTAATTTTAAGGTCAATATTATTGTCATGTTCACCAGCGAACAAACCACCAGATGTCGCTGGTAAACACTCACTCCTGGAACTACAAATCTGCCAGTAAATGGACTACATATTCAGTCATGCCACACACACACCTGCTTCCTCATTTAGACTGATTACACTCACCACCTGAGGATTGTTAAAAAAAATATAGTGTTGATTAGCATAGTCTGGTGGCTAGCATTTTACCACATTCATAACAAAACCCCAATTTCCCTTTGACTTGAGAGGAAAAACAAAGGCAAACACACTCTGACTGTTCTCCTGAAGAGTTTTCCCAGCAAAAAACTCTCCCTGTGTTCAATTGCATGCATGCTAATAGCAATATCATTTGCATTTCATGGGCTTTCGCAAATTGAAAATGGTAAACGAGTGTGTAGGGGGGTAATTTGAGTAATTGAGGTACACAGGAAGTTAATGAAAGTTTCAGAGCGACACGGACCAGTAAAGCGCAACTCCAGCCGTCTGATTACACTCCAGTCTGAAAGCTTCCTCTCGTTCTCGCAGACACTTTTCCGCTCCTTCTGGAGAAACGCAAACCGAGAGCGAGTCGGGAACGCGTCCGTCACGTTATTTTTAATGTGTTTATTCTCCAGTTGTACTCATATTTATTCTGTCTGCATTCAAATTAGACTTGTGTTGAATTTATCGTTACACATTTTCGCTAATATGATTTTATACTTTGAGCTGTCAATCAGGTAACAGTTTAACCTTTAATATGATCTTGGGCTATAATATGTTGACCCCAATTAACTTTACCTTATTTAAAGGTCCTGTTGAGTGCTTTGAAATATGCTTTTTTATTTTATATATTTTATGTAATCCCAATGAAACATGAAGAGAAGGCGGGGCATAGTGTTTTGGAATAAGGCTGTGACATAATCAAATGTCGAAAAAGTGAAGCGCTATCAATACTTTCCGGATGCACTGTATATATATACATATATATTATTTAATTTTATTATTATTATTATTTATTTTATTTTATTTTATTTTATTTTATTTTATTTTATTTTATTTTATTTTATTTTATTTTATTTTATTTTATTTATTTATTTATTTATTTATTTATTTATTTATTTATTTATTTATTTATTTTTTATTTATTTATTTTTTATTTATTTTTTTTA